TCGTTCCCAACTTGGTTGACCCTTCTAGTCACTAATTCAAGCCACAACAGCCTCTATTAGGTCACTAGTGAGCATAAAAATTAATTTTCATATGTTGGTGTGTACTGGTGGAGAGTCTCAAACAAGGACAAAAAGAGCTACATTCAATTCTTCCTGGTCTTCAGTGGTTCTCTAATTGAATTCAATTCGTGACCAATCTTGAAATCAGTGAAATCCCTGTAAAGTAATACTTGAAAAGTAGGTCGTATATTTTTCAGAGTTAGGAAGTGACTATTTGTTAGGGTAACACTATAACAGGTTCATTTTTACATCCACGTACCGCTACATAATAGGTTAAATCATTTCTTCAGCAAAGCTAGAGCGTTGTATTCAGAAGATTTAAGAAGGACCAGCCATCATTGATTAGAACCTTATCTAGAATAGACACCCTCGAAACTTCCTATCGAAATATAGGAAGGAAAAAACACCTAAACTGATTTTGGTGTGGTTGTGTTCTCTGAGCTGGATGGTTTGGTTGCGAAGCTTTCATTGCTCTACTGAGCAACATCTTCAGCACATACTTCGATGTGAAGTGAGCTTTTAGAATTCTCTATGAGTTTATTAGTCATCTCTTCTAGTAACCCTGAACGTGATTGGTTGTTTTCGTGTGACATTTTACCCCCTAGTTTGCTTGTCTCGGTGCTGGCTGCTTCTTTGGTTTGAATGTCGTTAGTCATTCCTCCTGCTAACCTTGAACGTGATTGGTTGTTTTTGTGTGACTTCTCACTTTCTAGTTCACTTGTTTTGGTGTTGACTGTTTCCTTGACCTGAAGTTTGACTTTGTTTTTGTGTGAATTTCTTCGTATGGATTGGTATATTTTGTCAATCTCTATGTGTCTATTGATTGCTGATTCATTTGAATACCAGGCCTCTAGGAATTCTCTGGCATTTTTGCAGTTCCCTTTGTCTAAGATTTGAACATTGTCCCAGTCGAATTGGTGCCCGTGGTTGTCTGCATGTAGTGATATGAGGGAGTGTATGTCGTGTCTTTTGACAGCTAGTTTGTGTTCGTGAATGCGAAGACGAAGAGGGCGTCCACTTTGACCAATGTAATGTTTGTCGCAGTCGTTGCAACTTATCTTGTAGATGACGTTAGTTTTGTCTTCTTTTGCCGTTGAGTCCTTTGGTTTACATAGAACTGAGTGTAGTGACTTTGTTGGTTTATGAGCGACTATTCAAACCTTTTGGAATCGATGTCGCCCATAAACCAACAAAGTCACTACACTCGGTTCTATGTAAACCAAAGGACTCAACGGCAAAAGAAGACAAAACTAACGTCATCTACAAGATAAGTTGCAACGACTGCGACAAACATTACATTGGTCAAAGTGGACGCCCTCTTCGTCTTCGCATTCACGAACACAAACTAGCTGTCAAAAGACACGACATACACTCCCTCATATCACTACATGCAGACAACCACGGGCACCAATTCGACTGGGACAATGTTCAAATCTTAGACAAAGGGAACTGCAAAAATGCCAGAGAATTCCTAGAGGCCTGGTATTCAAATGAATCAGCAATCAATAGACACATAGAGATTGACAAAATATACCAATCCATACGAAGAAATTCACACAAAAACAAAGTCAAACTTCAGGTCAAGGAAACAGTCAACACCAAAACAAGTGAACTAGAAAGTGAGAAGTCACACAAAAACAACCAATCACGTTCAAGGTTAGCAGGAGGAATGACTAACGACATTCAAACCAAAGAAGCAGCCAGCACCGAGACAAGCAAACTAGGGGGTAAAATGTCACACGAAAACAACCAATCACGTTCAGGGTTACTAGAAGAGATGACTAATAAACTCATAGAGAATTCTAAAAGCTCACTTCACATCGAAGTATGTGCTGAAGATGTTGCTCAGTAGAGCAATGAAAGCTTCGCAACCAAACCATCCAGCTCAGAGAACACAACCACATCAAAATCATCCACCTGAGCTACAAATCTTCTCTATGATATCTACACCTAAACTGAAAACCGAAACAGCCTAGCTTACAAGGGTGAAATAGTATTCACAAGAAGGGAAAACAGAATCAAAGGTGCACTGGAAAAGAACATTTCCCATTGCCAAACTCATTCCTCTTTACCACAGAGTATATTTGTTAGCCTAGTCAAAAGTGAATAACTATCCTGCTCACGTCAACTCCAAGTGTACTTACCAATTCACCAGCATTTGCAGCAATAAGTACATAGGCAGGATTAAAATGAGAGATTCTACTAGATTTTTTGAGCATATCCCTAATAGTCTCCGTTTGAAAGTCAACGAAGTGTTCTCAAGGGCAATTGCCAGACACCTAGTTGACACGAGACAGACATAGGAAATTAGCATGCAGGCTTTCAAAATAATCAAAACACAAAGAGAAGCGTGTTTACTTCGGTTCACAGATGCAACTGTCATCAAATGACTACGACTCAACCTATGCATACAGAAAAATAGTGTGACTAATGTCTCGCTGTTAACCGTAACTGTTTTGTTCGTATGCTTGTGTGTTTTGTTCTGTTGCATAACATTCCACTCAATTGGGATTTTTACTTTCCCTTACTGAGTGTTGAACTCACTATTGCGTTTCCACATCTTCTAAATTATCCCGGAATCACTCAAGGAATCCACGGTACTTACTGTCTTCTTCCTGTTTTAAACTTTTTGGCAAAGTGTCGAATTAAAAATACCCATCCTGGATCCTAATGCAACTCACTTTAGACAGAATAAATTCCGGCTAACATTTATCACACCATCGAAGCATCAGTACAAGTGTGGTGAGAGATGGTTGCTAGCCAAATTGGTTGACAGTAATTGAGGTCAAAGGTCAAGATGGACAGGCGGATACAGTTAACATATAGATGAACTGACACAGCCACAAGAGATGCAAGGTTAACTTTCTGTGAGAAACAACCAGTCAACAGACTGTATTTTCTACTAACATTAACCTACAATAATGTACATTAAAATCTATAAATATGTGTTGATTTTCCGTAATAAACGTTCTGTTGTCTGGCCCTTGTCTTCTGTTGTTACAAAAGTAGCCGAATGGGCCACCAGAAACTAAAGCATTTCAGTACAATATAGCCAAGTCAACTGAAAGTACAAAAATAACTCAAATAAGGCATTAAAAGGGCAAATATCGTGAGATGTTATATCATATCATAATTTCTTTACTATCACTTTACAACTGGAATGGTTCACAATAAAAAAAATATAAAATGTATGACAGTTACTCATTCAACGCTGGATTCTTATTTCCTTACATCTCGAACATTTTCAGCTCCTTTGCTTATGATTAAAGGATTAAAATCCTATAGACTGTACTTTATACTGTATCTACAAGTTTGCCTGCAGTTGCACTGACATATATACAAGTAGAACCAACAGGATGTTCCATAATAAGGAAGAGTCACAAACTAGGACGAAGCAGCTGTCCAGTACTCCCAGGTTTTCCAATGGTTCTCTGTAACCAGAATGTTCTAGTATCGTCGAAAAGAACATATCACATAGAAAAAAACTCAAATGAAATTCATCTCAACAGAAATCCATCATCACGTCTGGTCACAAAATCAGTTTGAATGACTAATTCTGAATTATTTCGCATAACTTTTATTCAAGGTTATTAGAAAGAGGTGGTTGAAGCACTTTAGATTAATCACATGCATCCCAAACTACTGTGTGTACCGTGGACTACTTGATCTGCTAAGGTATGATTGGCTATTAATGTGTACTTTTGTTTTATATGATTGAGTAACAGTCAGACATTTTATTTTATGAATGAACGAATTTCTTTTGTATGCAGAGTTCAGGATTTAACAGGTGAATTGCCATTGCTTCTGCGATGTGGAGAAGTTTGATCCGTACACTTTCAGCAAGATTGCCTTGTATTCTGTAGATAACTTTGAAGTTTATTTCTGGTTTGACTTGGTGTCCGGAGTCAATCAAATGTTCAAGGATCGAGCTGCGAGGACATTGGTTTTCTCCTTTATAAAACCATGAAGGTAAATGTTCGTTGACGCGTTTGGATAGCGAACGCTGAGTACGGCCGCGATATACCTGGCTCCACACGAGCAGGTGAATTGGCAGATGCACATAGATGAGGCCAACAGCGGTAGCTTATCCTTCATGTTCATACGAATCATTGGTCTCGTAGAGAACGTCAGTCGTAATTCAGCTGCAAAGTAGGTTTTCTTCAATGAGCGGGAGAGCCGATTTCTCAGTATTTCTGTAGATTGGTCTCCATTGAATTGTAGGTTCATATAGAGAAGTCTTTTTGGGGCACCAGGTGTGAGCGGCTTCTCTGGTCTGGGTTCCGTTGATTTTGTGACAAATCTTTCTGGATAGCCATTTTCAAGGAGGATTTTCTTAAGAGTGTTCATTTCATCTTCTATGGCGTCCAGGCTGCAAATTCTACGTATTCTGTGGCTTAGTGAACGGATTAAGTTTCGTTTAGTACATAGAGGTACCCAACTGTGGAAGTTAGTGAGCTGTCCGTTCCACGTTGGCTTTCTGTAGATGGATCTTTTTAATGTTCCGTCTTGTTGGCGTCTCGTTACTTGAACGTCAAGAAAAGATATCTTTCAGTTAGACTCTTTCTCTAGTGTGAAGTGAATCGCAGGGTGGCAGTTGTTGAAGAACTTCAGGATATCTTCTAAATTGTCTTCGTTGTTGCAGATGATGAAGGTGTCGTCGACGTATCTCTTGTAGAGTTCAAAGTTGTCAATCATATTCTTTAGACGAGTGTTTTCGAGTTTCGACATAAAGAAATCCGCAAGCAGAGGTCCTAGTGGTGAGCCCATAGCTATTTTATTTTATTTTTGTGAACCATGCTAGTTGCATAGAGGTTATAAAGAAAGACCACAAAGTGGTATCATCTCTCAGTAATATTTGTTTTCTTAACGCCTTATTTAAAATTGTCAGAGGGACTAGGTATTTCAAAAATAATATATTAAAAAATAATAATTACACTCACTTCCTTGATTTAAATATTGACAAATAACTAAACTTGGGATTCCATACAATTTAACAGGATCATCTGATCCGATTAATTCAATTTGATCACCATACGGACGAGGTATTGGACGATTGTACTAGAAAATATTAAGTTATTTCAATTGAAATATAAGATAATTAATTGCAAACATTAATTGTAATCATTTTAGTCTAACAACTATGGTGATACTCAAGTATTGGTTTGTAGGGATTTGGTTGATTGGTTACAGGATTTCATCATGAGCTGACATTAGTTAGAGAACCATTGGAAAACGTGGGAGTACTTGACAGCTGTTTCCCACGTCCTAGTTTGGGACTCTTCATCGGTACGCACCCACCGGGATTCGAACCCAGAACCTGCTGGTTACAAGGTGAGCTCGTATACCATTAAGCCACTGGGACCCGATCCAGTGACCCATGAATTCTAACTTGTGCCAATTCACGACATAGCGCGACCCCTAGCCAATGTCTTCGGCGAGTATTTGTCCTCACGCGCGACCTGCTGCACCCTACTTGTCAGGACTTCTCACTAGAACCCCAGGTAACTACCTACCTGAATAGGGCAAGTCACATATCCTTGGTGATATTTTGAATCACACATTGTTGTGTAAAACATACTTTGCAGCCCATTTCATTGTGTGTTAAGTAGTACGGTCTGGGGAAACAGGAAGCTGTCGTATAAACGTTACCGACGTAGTCGGTCAGTTTTCGTGATCAGCGAGTGTGTGTGTGTCCAATTCAGCGTCGCTATTTCAAACTCACAGTAATGCGATCCATAACACTGGCAGTGAGAAACATTATTTATGGATAGTCAGTGTCATGCTGTGTAGTTCTTCAATACTTCATTGAAGTACTTACTACAGAAGATTACTTGCATCTATGATGTGTATTACATAGCCACGAGGTATTCGTAACTCTGAGAAGGCATCATTTCTGTCCCAGTTGAAGATGAACCTTTCTTCTGAGTATCAGTAAAAAAAAGAGATTTAGCTCTTCAAAACATCTTGGTGACTGTGAATTTCTCCCGAAAGAAATCCGAAACGATAATCCAAACTATAGATTTAACCACACGTAGAGTGACGGACGCGTAAAGTCCGAAATACAGGATATTCTGCAATACGGTACTTTATTACATAAAAATAGATATATAATATACAAACCTCAAAATGTGAGGTGTCTGTGGCTAAATGCCGTCAAATGCACAACCACTGTGCAGTCAATAAGTAAAAACAGCAATGCTGTGTCAAGGTCGATCCACGTGTCGGTTCAAACGGCCCGCGAATGCCAAGCAAAGAATAAACAAATATGAACAAACAACTTTCAGTAGTAAAGCATACACTATAGGGTAAGGTCAGCAAATAATGTTTAAGGAGAAGAAAAATAAGAACTATATATTAATAGAATGATAATAGAAGAAGTAATTTAACTGCAGTTGTAAGCAAATGTCATTGTTATAAATTGACATAATAAAATCATACTACTTACTAATGGCAAGTAGTATAATGTTGAACAAAGGAAAGATTGAGAATGAACAGGTAGGAAAGGAATTAACAGTGGCTGTGTTCAAACAATTAATTTCAAGTCGAAACAAGTCTTTGGGGCATACTGCTTTGGACTTAAAATCTATAGGGAGCTGAGTTTAAACCTGGGTGAAAATAAAATTACTAAGGCGTAGGGACGGACATCTATTTGACTCTAGTGGCGTTCCATATCTAAAAATGCAAGTCAGGATAGAAATAAATCTGACATCAGCATTTCAGATTCATACAGTTTCTAAGGCTGATGTTTAGTCCTAGTTTTGAAGTCTTTAGTGTTGTAATTTGAACTCGTGGACCACTGAATATTGATCCATTGGCTCAGTCACAATATAATCATCAAAAAACCTGCTGGTCATGGGTCCACTCCATCATATGGTTATTGGTATTCACTGATGGAGAGCCTCAGACAAAAGCGAGACATCTGTCCAGTGCTTCATTATTTTCTGACATCGTCTCTTGAGCTAACGAACTTCCTAACTAGTAGATTCACCAGCCTAATGTCCTAATCACTATTCGTAATGACAACCACCACAACCCGATACCACTGACAAGTGGCTTAAGTATGAAAGCAAGAAGATAAGTTGTTAATCCGAGACAGTGAAAGCTTATGTAACAATTTCTCCCTTCAAAATTTGCTTTCTAGTTATAAATATGTAAATAAAAGTTCCTTTTTTACTTCACTACTTACTTGAACCAGTGCCAATTTGTTGTCACCAGCATAAAATGTTGGACAAATTGGACCATTTTGAATGACAGCAAATGGTGGAGTAATTCCAAGCGGAGCTTGATAGTTTGACTTATCTATTGGTGACGTGGATTCATCGTCTACTTCGGTTAAATTTGCTGGTGCATTTGACGAACAGCACAATGTCAAACGATAGCCAACTTGTATAAAATTGATTTCATTCTGTCGTAAGCCTGTTAATGCGATGATTGATAAAAAAAACACAGGAGATTTGTAACACAGATTAAAATGTGAATAGAAATCGCATGATTTTATGTGAACTTTGGTTGTTGTTTTTTTCTTTGATCGTGAGAAGTGTTACATTCTCAGAGATTCAAACCATGTTCTGCAAGTAGACATTTTCACACTGAGTTAATCAAATCCCAAGTGAATTCCTGATGAACTGGAGTGGATGTGTCCTGACTGGTCGTTTTCTGGAAAGTCACCAATCTCAGGGCGTCTAGATGCCGATAAATTCGACTCGTTTCAGTGTTTGGTGCATTCACAAAACTACATGACTAGCTACTGCAACAAATTCTACTAAATGATTTATTTTAACTCTCAATGCAAGGTCAGATGAACTTAAATACATATTCTTTTGACGCCTTAATGTCTTAATTCTCAACGTATGCATCTCAGTATATGTATTAACAGTTATGAGCATGATAACAGGGATCTTCTGGCTTTGTTTCTACAGAAAATAGTAACATTATCTTGTGATGAGAGCTGTCTGCTAGCCAAAATTGGAAGACATTAATTTACGTCAATGTTTACGTCACGAATCTTGGTCATGAGACAAAAAAACAAGAACAAAGACTAACTCATCAGCCAATCACAGCAGACTTAACGTGTGCAAATACGATTAGCAGATATATATCAACGGCAACAAAGGGATGACAGAATAACCTTCATCGGGAAAACAACCAATCAGAAGACGTTACCTCTCTGCTAACATTAACGAATAATAATGTACATAAAAATCTATAAATATCTGTTGATTTCATGTGGGGTGCTCGATGTCCATAGATGACAAGGTGTTCGAGGGTCGAGCTGTTGCTATTCTTCTTTCCTCCTCTGGCCAACCAAGCTGAGCAGTGTTCCAGAATACGTTTTTGAACTTGACGTTGCGTACGGCCAATATACTTTGCTCCACACGAGCAAGTAAATTGATAAATACACATTGAGGTGGCCAAAAGCGGTATCTTGTCCTTGGCGTTAGACTGGATTAACTGTCTGCAGGAGAATGTGATACGTAGAGTGGCTGTTGGAAATGTCTTCTTTAGACATTTAGAAAGGCGGTTTCTGAGAATTTCCGCTGCGACATCACCTTCGAATTCTAGGTTCATGAAGAGAGTCATCTTATGAACCGTTGCGATGTTTGACACCGGAGGCTTCTCCTTCACGTTTTTGTCAATAAATCTCGGTGGATACCCATTCTCTAGTAGGGTTTTACGTAATAAATTTAATTCTTTCTCCACATGTCTTCCGAGCAGATTTTTCTAATCCTTGAGCACAACGTACGTACCAGGTTTCTCTTTCGGATTAGTGGGACAAAGCTCTGGAAGTTGATAAACTGTCCAGTCCATGTTGGCTTGCGGTATATTGATCTTTGAATAGTACAGTCGTGTCGTCTGGTGAGTAGTACATCAAGGAATGGAAATGCGTTTTTCGATTCTCTTTCTAAGGTGAAACTTATTGATGGATCCGCTGCGTTGAAGGTTTAGAGGAGAGAATCTAAATCACAATTTTCATCACAGATTATAAACGTGTCATCTACGTATCTCTTGTATAAGTGCAGTTGACTTATCAAGGGATTGAGGATGTTGTTTTCCAGACTCGCCATGAAGCAGTCGGCTAGGAGTGGACCGAGAGGAGACCCCATGGCTACCCCATCTTTCTGTACATAAAACTTTTCATTGGATTTGAACTGGATATTGAACGTACATCTGAGAAGAAGTTCCTTCAGGTAGTTTATTGGGAGAGGAACTTCTAGGTTGTTGATTTCGATGTAATTACAAATGAAGCATATTGTTTCAGTTAGGGGGATGCTTGTGAATAGAGAGACGACATCTAGTGAGATCATTTGTCTTTCAGACACGTTGACATCCTTCACTGAGTCGATGAAGTCAAAGTTTGTTGATTTTCTGAATAAACGATCTGTCTGGCCTGGTTCTTGTCTTCCGTCGTTACAATTGAATATGAAGTATTTTCCTTTAAATGGAGTCATCTGATATAGCCTCATATGAGTATTCAATTTTGCTATTTTTGTGGCTCTGTAAAATCAGAAGATACTGAGATAGAAAAGCTGTAGTGGCTATTCAGCTTTTGTTGGTTATATCGACGTACTAGTGTGATCGGACATATCACTGTGGTAATTAATAACCGCAAAATACTTTAGGAATGGTTTCGAAATGCCGCATTTCAACAAAATGCTTGTTGTATGAACAGCTTCTACAAGACGTGCATACTGAACAACTTTATCAAATCTCTAGTGGGGGGGGGGCGACAAGGGGTTCAAGAAGGCCGCTGTTGGCAACGGATCAAATCAAGAAATATTGCTGAAGTCTATTTGTCACAAATGAACAGACGTTAAAAATTATTAGTGGTTAGATTTAAACCTGTTGGCTGAATGGTAATTTGCTTTGTGTAAAACTTGAAGAATTTGATACTACTGTTTGACTTTTATAGGTAGATGGATATCCCGTACGTCAAAAAGTTGTATTCCCTAGACAAATCGAAGTAGTTTTAGCAACAGACTACCATTTTTGTCACTTGGAATCAAGCTAGTTAGTTTTGTATTCAGTTCGACCCAACTATTATTATTATTATTACTGTTCCCTTGGGTTCCTAGTGGAACATAGGACTTCAACTACACGTCTCCACTTGCTTCTGTCTTCTGCTGTACTTTTCACCTGCATTCATGTTAGTCCATACTGTTTCAACTCCTCTTCACACGATCTCCTCCATGTCACCCTTGGACGTCCCACTCACCGCTTCACTTTCAGGTTCCACTCGAACACTGGCCGGACGCGTGATGTCACCCAGCGGCCTCCTCAGCGAGTATCTAATCCATCTCCACTTTCTCCTGCATATTTGTTAAGTGATTGGTTCTTGTTTTGCTTGTTCCCATAGTTTCTTGTTGGTGATTCTTCGACCCAACTGAAAGAAGTAAATTGATTTTAGAGCCAGCCGAATTCAAGCTGGTTCTTCAGATGAGTTAAGTGGTAATAGATGAAGGCGAATTCACAATCTGCGAATTATACGGTTGGTGGTAATAATTTACTAAAGTTACCTTTGGAAATAAAAACACTGAAATCTTTAAATGGGACCTACAATGTACTAATGATAGTCAATTAGCAGTGCTTTACTTAAGTTGAAATTTACAAGAAAAAGCGGTTGACTGTATTGCATATCCCAGCTAATTGTAGCGTAACAATCCGTAGCTCTGGCAGTTTAATGACAAGTTACTTCTTAAATGAAATTTTGCATTAAACTTGTTTTCAGAACAAAATATTTAGAGCGAACAATTGTGTTTCAATAAATTCTTCTTCAGGCTCTACAATTATAAATCCATTAATTTAAGCATACCATAGCCAGTCAGTAAAGGCAAATTAGAATCATATCAGAAAGTGTATTGTGGAACAAGTATAAGATGGGATGGAACAATAGTCAGTTAGTTTCATTTAATATGCATGGTCAATGAGAACATGGGACAAAATGAGATGAAGTAATTTAATTTAATGATGTGTGTGTATATATATAAATATAGTCAACAGAAATACAGGTTTCGAGAGTGTGTGTAATCAGAGTGTGTGAGACAATATGAAAATAAACCAACGAATGGGGCGGACTAGACATAAGTTCAAGGTTGAAAATAACGACAGTAAGAATGATTGTAAAATAATAACGATGACATGGTGTAAAATTACAAGCACTATTGGTGAATGATTGTCAAATAATAATAATGAATATAATGAATTGGAATGAACAGGATTTTGTAAATACGATAGCAAGTTAGAAAAGCACTACTTAAACCTAAGGTAATAAAATCATAAGAAAGGTCATGAAATCATAAAAGTCGAAAATGAACGATTGTCAATGAAACAGAGGAATAGAAGAAGAAAAGAAAAGAAAGTTGTGAAAGCAATTTATAGTGTTAATGGAGGATTTGTTGGCTTTATTGTATTTGTATCTTAAGTTACAAAGGGGAAATTGCAGCTGACATTCTAAAATGTCGACTTAATAGAGCAGTAGATAAAACATTTCCTGCAGCTAAACTGGTACTCAACTTCTCAACTAAACCAGTACTCACACAGCAAGTAAAGGATAAATTACCAAAGATGGCCTCATCAATGTGCATCTATGAATTCAACTGCTCATGTAGAGCTAGTTACATTGGCCGTATTCAGAGGGCTTTATCCATGCGCGCACGTGAACATGTACCTGTATGGTTGAGTAAAGGAGCAACGAAAAGCGTAAATAGTGCAGTCTTAGCTCACTTGATAGATACTGGACACCCGATAAAACTTGACCAGTCGTTCTCAGTTATTTACCGCGTTCCTAGTAATTTATCTAGAGGAGCTCGACTGCGTCTTCTATCAGTAGCTGAAGCGGTGGCAATTAATACCAGAAGACCATCTCTTTGCATACAGAAGAAGTATGCTCAGCCACTATGTTTACCTTGGCCTACAATAAAGCCAACAAATCCTCCATTAACACTATAAATTGCTTTCACAACTTTCTTTTCTTTTCTTCTTCTATTCCTCTGTTTCATTGACAATCGTTCATTTTCGACTTTTATGATTTCATGACCTTTCTTATGATTTTATTACCTTAGGTTTAAGTAGTGCTTTTCTAACTTGCTATCGTATTTACAAAATCCTGTTCATTCCAATTCATTATTATTATTTGACAATCATTCACCAATAGTGCTTGTAATTTTACACCATGTCATCGTTATTATTTTACAATCATTCTTACTGTCGTTATTTTCAACCTTGAACTTATGTCTAGTCCGCCCCATTCGTTGGTTTATTTTCATATTGTCTCACACACCCTGATTACACACACTCTCGAAACCTGTATTTTCTGTTGACTATATTTATATATATACACACATCATTAAATTAAATTACTTCATCTCATTTTGTCCCATGTTCTCATTGACCATGCATATTAAATGAAACTATCTGACTATTGTTCCATCCCATCTTATACTTGTTCCACAATACACTTTCTGATATGATTCTAATTTGCCTTTACTGGCTATTGTATGCTTAAATTAATGAATTTATAATTGTAGAGCCTGAAGAAGAATTTATTGAAAACAATTGTTCGCTCTAAATATTTTGTTCTGGATAAATTTTGGGAATATTCAATTTACTGAAACTTTTTTTCTGACGTACCTATTGTTGGTGGCACTGTGCTCTTGAGTTGTGTAACATTTGCGCGACTTTTTTTCAGAAAATGTCGCCCGATACTGTTATCTGACCAATGGAATTGGTTAAATCATTCAGTAAGTTCAAAAGTTTGACGTATATTTTTGCAAGGGATTTTAATGAGTTCATCCTAGTATATTTGGCCTATTTATTAAAACTTGACCACACACACACACACACAAACAGGACAAAGCGCGTGGCGCCACTTTTAAAAAATGGCTATGCCTTGTAATTGCGCGCCAAAAATAAATAAATAAATAAAAAGTGAAAAATGAGATTTTTACCTTGTGGACACTTATAAGTATAACCTTTGTATTTATCATTTTCATTGAAACTACTGCCTGATGTTGACGTATCGTATGTATTATCAGATATCATACAATAATTTCCTATTGGTATTTGATTTTTAACTGACATAAAATCAGCTTTATATCGACTTGTCGACCAACAAAGACTGACACTTGTACCAAGAATGAAGACAACACGTCGAGAGAGCTGAGTCTTTTTAAAGCCAGCTGGACACGTTGGTTCATTGACTAGTAAAGCGAGTCGACTGACTAAAAATGATGAAATTGCAGAAAGAAACAACAATGAGAAACAATAATAATGAGATGAAAGCATTAGAAAGCATGGAGTAATCATCAATAACTTTGGACAATAACACAGTGAGACAAAATGCGGTCGAAGTCCGACAGGGTAAGATGCTATGTATGCCTTTGCATCAAGTTTTACACTTGTCAGAATTCGCTCATACGCTTCGTATCTGCATCTGCAATCGCCAGGATATTCTGATTCCTTGTAAACCTCTAACGTCAAAATAAACTTTATATTTATATCACAATTTAAACAAATTGACTCATAGAATTTACAATTAGGAATTAGAATGCCATAATAAACAGGGGGATGGGTAAAACTCAAATAAAGTAGCATAATAACTAAGACGATTGACATTGTGCAATTGGGGGTTAGAAATGTAAAAATAACAAAATATACAGGATGTTTGGATAAAAGACTAGTGTGATGAATAATTGTTTATGCAATCAGGGATTAAATATGTAGAAATAGTAAAATGACAAAATAAACAGGAAGTGTGGATATGAAAATATGGTAGTGTAGACAGGGATTAAGAAAACTTAAAATAACATGAATAAACAGGAAGTTTAGATAAGAAAGGCGATGGGATGGTCATTATTAAAAAATTTACCTGTTTACGATGGCCATGGCAGGGACAGGGGTTGGACGTATTTCTTTTGGATACAAAGGGTGGGTTTGAGTTTTGGATAGCTAACGCCTCAGCTATGCCCAAATGTCTTGATTTCACTCCCTTTGACAGGTGTGATTGAATCTTGTATATTACTTTGAAGGACTTTTCGAAAGGCGCTGAATGTCTTGAGTTGACCAGATGTTCTGTCACTGAACTGTATACACGTTTTCGCTCTCCTTTTACTAGCCAGGCTGGGTAGTGTTCACGAGCGCGTTTTCCAAGTTGGCGCATGGTACGGCCGATGTACTCAGCTCCACAAGAGCAAGTAAACTGGTATATGCACGTTGAGGTGGCCCAATGCGACAGCTTGTCTTTCGCGTTCTGGTTGAACAGTTTCTTGCAGGAAAACGTCAGTCGTAGGCTTGCGGCGAAGTATGTTTTCCTCAGCGATTTGGAGAGGCGTTTGCGAAGGATTTCTGCTTCAATATCACCTTTGATTTCTAGATTAAGCAGAAGTATTTTCTTTGGGACGGATTGGACTTGTTCAGAAATCTTCTTAGGTTTGAGATTCTTGTCTATGAACCTGGGCGGGAAACCGTTTTCCATCAGGGTTTTTCGGAGATTACGCAGTTCTTCTTCGATCACTTCCTCGCTGCATATCTTCCGAATCCTCGAGGAAAGAGCGTATATCAGGTTCCTCTTTCTGCTTAGCGGTACGAAGCTTTGGAAGTTGATGAATTGTCCAGTCCATGTAGGCTTTTTGTATATGGACCTTTTCAAAGAGTTGTTGTCATTTCAATTGCACAATGTCAATCTTCTTAGTTATCATGCTACTTTATTTGAGTTTTACCCATCCCCCTGTTTATTATGGCATTCTAATTCCTAATTGTAATTTCTATTAATTTAACCCTTAACCAGAAATTATTCTGGAACTTTCCCATCCATTTGATATAAATTGATTTCACTCTATGTTTCAGTGATACGTAGTGGTGATGCCCTGAGTGCTATTTATCAATATGTAATGATTCATAGCTTAAGGTTGATTTCAGCTTGAGCGCGCGTGGAGATTTTAAAAATCGCCTAATTTACTAATTACCTTATTCAAACATAAAATTGCACTAAAACTTTATACTCAGCAATTTCAAGGTGCACTAAAATTCTGCTTCGACAGTTTTTCTTGACCAATTCACTTTATATTTATACTGTTCAAAAGTTTTGATAATAACTGATTCCTGAAAAAGTTTGAAAAATTGCATAAATTTGTGGGAAAAAACAACTTTCGATTCATAGTTCAGTGTTCAATTTTTTTTTGCGTCTGAATAGCTTTGTGTCATTATGATCTGTTGCATACCTGTCACCTGGTTTTATCTTAGTTTATCTGTGGTTTTTGTGTATTTAAGCATTTCCAGTGTGGTGAGAGCAAGCTGCTAGCCAATTGGTAGACATTGATCTACGCTGATTGGTAGAAATTAATCTAGGCTGATTCAACAACCAATCACAGCTGACCTAAACGTGGACAAATATGATTCGCAGACAAGTGGCTCGCATTTCCGAAAAATATCGAAAACGAGAAAGCAGAAGACTGCGTTTGTTTGCAAACAACCAATCAGAAGACCGCCTTCTTTCTGCGGGCAGAAGCCTTATTAATGTACGTAAAATACATATAAATACCTGTTGGTTTTCGTAATAAAACTGATCTGTTGCCAGCCTTGTCTTCTGTTGTTACACCAGCTCTCTGAGTGGATATTGATACCCTGAAATTACCAGTGAATTTAGCGTCATTCCAAGGTCACTTTGAATGTAAGTAGTCAGCACTGTTATCATGCATCTTGACCGTTGACTAAGGCAGTGGAAGGTCACCTAACAACCGATAGTGTTCCCTCCCCCTATTTTCTAGCTTCTGTGATATTGTCGCTGTTATTATTATTATGGTTTCTCACGTTTTATTAAGTAATTAGAGTAATTTTCGTCAACAAATAAAGTTGGTGATGTTATTTGATGGATAGTGAATAGCAGTTGAATTCGGTGTGTGTGCATTTCGTCCTGTTTGGGCCTCTTCACTTCCATGTATCTGCCATCTCACTGAGTGACAGTATTCACACTGTGATTCAAACCAAACACCCATCACCTGAAATACCAAAGTGTAAACCACTGGACATACTGAAAACTCCATCGCTGAGAGGAGAGCAGACACAGGAGCTAATTAATCTGGAACGAGACGAAACGTGTATCTTGGATTCTACTACAAATGACTAATGAACGGTCAATGACTTAATAGTCCTGACTATATCATAGCTTCTGTTTGAGGAATCCATGACACTCGTCATTAAATCGGTGTATCGATTTGAAAAATCACAAGTAGTAAGCTTTCGAATGGCATAGTATTCATCAAATACAATTCAAAATAATCAGACTTGTAAGAAAAAATTGCCAGAAAAAGTGTGAGAAACTGAACTTAACACATGTTGGATTCAGGTACTTTTTGATTGAACACTAGTCAGTAACTAGTGTAATGTGTCTAGTCCTATCTTCGGTGCAGGCTGAATTCTATCAGTCATGCTTGCAATGTGGCCACCATGCTAGGTGGCTTGCCGTCACGGTGCACTATGAATTGTTGGTATTAGGTGGTTGGAGGCAATCGGCAGGAAGCCTTGGACCTAGGTTTCGTGCTAGTTGGCACTCATTAGCAAGGCGTATCTGCAACCTTGAAGGAACTGATGTCCCTTCTGAGATTCGAACCCGCGTCACCCAGTGCTGCAGTCAGAGACGTTACCACTGACTGACTGACTAGTGTGCGATCAAAAATATCGAATACAGTCCTACAGGAGGTCAGTCGCGAGCCTGAATAGCTCAGTGGTAACGTCTCTGACTGCAGCACTAGGTGACACGGGTTCGAATCTCAGAAGGGACATCAGTTCCTTCAAGGTTGCAGATACGCCTCGCTGATCAGTGCCAACTAGCACGAAACCTAGGTCCAAGGCTTCCTGCCAATTGCCTCCAACCATCTAGTACCAACAATTGGATTCAGGTATTTTACTGCTAATACTTTGAATGTTGGAAAAGCCAGATATTATTTCTAGCTAGAGAAATAAGGGAATAGACAAGTTAATACATTGGGCAATATGAATCTTTGGTTTCATGCTAGATAAGTTAATTCGATGTAAAACACACTGACACTGTGTTCATAACTGAATAATGTTTCCAGTACATGGTCGAATTAATGCGTTCAAAAGTAGCTATATAGTCTTACCATCACCTGTCTTCAATACAATCTTCAAGTTTTCCGTTATTTCTATTCCATATACTTATGCACTGACTCTATGAACAAAGATTCACCGGTTGACCTTTCTCTCCACCTAACAGTGTGTAACTTAGTACTTTTACCCTACACTAGTCTGTTGTATGATTGCATGCAACTGAATAATGCCTTTGCTCTTAAGGTAGAGAAATTTTATCTCCAAGTGAGTTAGCTGGCTTAAATGCTACTCTAATTTTGACCTCGTTGATAATCACTCATAGGGTTTCTGATGTAGTACTGTGGTGAGAGCTGGCTGCTAGCCAAAGTTGATAGACAGTAATTGACGTCACTGTTTATGTCCCCAATATTGGTGGTGAGAAAATGAGAACAAAGGCTTTGCGTAGGCGGATACATTTAGCATATGGATGGTGATCTGACACAGCCACAAAGAGATGCAAGGTGGTTAACTTTCTGTGAGAAACAACCAATCAAAAGACTGTATTTTCTACTAACAATAATCTACAATCATGTACATTAAAATCTATAAATATGTGTTGATTTTCCTTAATAAACGATCTGTTACCTGGCCCTTGTCTTCTGTTGTCACAGTACTATCTGTACATGGCAGTATTACTGAGGTTTTATACTCCATATTACTTATATTATTTCATTATTTAGATTACAACTCTTCGTTTACTTATGGATCTTGAAAATTTTAGCTAGCTAGCATCATCGCAACACATAGGTTGTCATCTCATTTTTCACGTTTTATTCTCATGTTACCACCGAATCCCCAGTTCATAGCTTTCCAGCAGTGCCTAGAACGTAATGTCATTTAATCGTCTTCTCAGCAAATATCCAATTTGTCTCATTCCCTCTGCATAAACGCTCAGCAATGGGGTTTTACTTGTTGATTCACTGACACAGTTTCATGTTGCCTATCTTCCCTATCTATTCGATCTTTTGTATATCTTGAGGGCAGGTGTTCGTGAATATCTACAGTAGCCTGTTGGAAATGCTTTTACTGCACAAAATCTCTGAATTACATTAAATTGTTGAATGATTCTACATCTTGTTCTTTGGGCTAAGTGCATGAGATATTCATACAAATTACGGGTTCAATGAAGCCTGCATTGCCTTCCAGATCCTTTTTTTATTTTTTAACGTTCCCAGTGGAACATAAGGCTTCAAGCTAGAGTTCTGAATTTTCGGTAGCAGTGGTATTTATTTTTTTTGCAAGAAGCAAAACTGTGGCTTAGAAATGATATTTAAAGAATGTGATACTTACTTCTAGTCGCAGTATTCGGTAGAATCTCCGACTTAGCCTCCCGATATTCACAACTTATTTCTGGAAATAAATTTTGTAGAACATCACCAAGTGTTTGATCAGGGATAACATTACGAAACAGTGGTGCAACTAATCTGTCTGTCCCTTCGACTGGTGGACACTGATGAATTGAGACGAATAATGGTGGTGTGGAAAAGGTAGGCGATGGTGTAGGCAGAATTTCAGATGTGTATGCTATGGATAAGGTTGATGAAGACGAGTTAGAGTTTGTCGTCTCCAGTGTACTGTCATCCGAATAGTTATCATCATCTGAACGTTTCCATCGGGTTATCCATTTACGACGACGTGGTGGAAAGAATCCGCCAACTGTTATTCTTCGTCTGGGCTTTAAATAAAACCAGTCGTCAGCATCGGTTGTATACGATGATAATGTAGGATCTTGGGTACGTGATTCAGATGTTTCTTTCATTGTATTACCATTACTTGAACTGCCATAATCCCCTTTTTGCTTTAATGTACTTTCTACAGATATATATGGATTTTGTGTAGAATTACTCCAAAATTCTGGTTGTACACAGCAAGTTATAATCTGTAAGATATTATCGAATGTTGGTCGCCAGGCTGTTGGACCGGAAACATGACTAATAAACTCTAAACTTGGCTGAAATCGTCTAGTACGAATAAAACCTAAGAGGAAAAAGACAAGAAAAATGGGAGGGGGCGAATAAATATATTGCTTTTGTTATCTTGAAGTTAAACTGTAAGACCCTAAATGAATGTGTGCATCAATGACCTAGATCATGCCCACCAACATTGAGCTGAAAGTGTTGTAGTTCAAAAATCAAGTAAAATATTAGTGATGAGTGTTGTTCAGGAATATTAAGTAGTTAATTTGATAAGGAAGCAATCATCCAGTACTCTCCTGATGTAAGCTTAAATGGAAGAACTCGATAATGCCCTTGTTGAAGTACTCTGAATATCCAGCGACGATCTAGAGCTGCTATTGATGGTTATACATGTGACGGAATAATTGTTTGAAGAATCCCTCTTGAATCATAATTATTTGGGTGTTTCAATTAACTCTGTAACTATTCTCTTTCTTTCTCCTAGACTCTATGTGACTGTTCTGACGTTTGCACATATTATGTTGACTTTATCCTTAATATTTGTCTTTGTTGTTGCTTAATCTCTCATTTTAATGCTTCCCTTTTGGTTGTGCGATACACTTGTAACGACAGAAGGCAAGAGTCAGGCAACAGATCATTTATTAAGGAAATCAACGCATATTTATATATGTTTTCATGTACATTACTATGAATATTTAAGTAAACAAACAAACACAGTCTTCCGATTGGTTGTTTCTCACGACAAATTTTGGGAACGTAAATATTGACGTAAATTACTGTCTACCAATTTGGCTAGTAGACAGCTCTCACCACACACTGACTATGTGTTCATCGACGATGTGATTTATTTTTGGGGGTGAATCAACATCATTCTGACACTGGACTGTCTGAAAGGAATTTTTAGTGTGTGTGTGTGTGTGGTTCTAGTGGACAGAGTTTTGATCTCACCTTGTTGAGAATATTCTACTTGGTTCGAAGGTACTTCTTAAGGCTTAATTTTCGTTAACCCTGTTTTGTTCTACGATACATGTTTTGTGCTAGAAACCTATTTAGCCAGTATAACTAACTGCCTAACGACACCGTTGAGGTAATTCTGAGTTGTCGATGTTATTATTGTTGCAAAAAACAACAATTGGTTTTTATGGAAAATAACCGTCTGTTTGCTGTTTTTGGAGCGTTTTGTGACTATGCGTCTCTCAAAGAAGTTCCTGGCATCTTTCCATTAGGATGCAGAGATCGGTTCCCTGTGTGTTCAGACCACAAAGAGTTGGTTTTGGTAGTTATTTAGGTATTTTATTGGTTAGCTAGAGTTAAGAGTAGTTTGTTGATGACAGGCGTCGGTGGTATAGCGGTTAGGACGCTCGCCAACCATGCACATGGTCCGGGGTTCGATCCCCGGCCGACGAAGCACTCCTTCACCTCGCTGAGCCAGAAATAATGTTGGTAAAGAGGAAAGGTTGGGCATGAGGCTAGCAACCCCATCCTGTAAAATAAACACTGCTACAGAAACTTTAAACCACTAGCTTGAAGCCCTATGTTCCACTGGGGAACGTGAAGGAAAAAATGAAAAATGAATGTTGATGACAGGGTGTAGGAATTTTATCACGGTAAATAATATTGGATCACAGGTGCACATCCGTTCCGTGCCTGCCTGATGATCCCCTCCACAGGCTTGACATCAGAGACATCAGAGAGCTGAATCATTTGAAACCAGCTGATTTCTGGCTGGATAACTGGGCGAACTAAGCGGTGTGTTAAACTTTTATTGCTTACGTTAATTGTCAATACAGGCTGTTTGAAAATTCTCCTATGAGGCAGGGAAAAGATCGCGAAATTGTTTAAATGAAATCTTAATGAGGAATGAAAAGTTAACCAGCGCGCAGAGCTATACCCCATTAATCAGAAAAAACATAGTAGTAATAAGTTCGTTATGCTTAAAGATTCGAAAAATCTACTCGGAAAATAAGGTGGCAAGTAGAGTAATATATCTACCGGACATCCTATCGGAAAATGTGAATTCACCTGTATTTATTGACCACAAAGTGAGGCGAAAAATTTCACCACAGGAGTTCATCAGTGTCTGTAGAGAAATTCTCATCATGAAACTGAAGTTCATATGTGATACTGATTCAAAAATCCTTAAAATCTATCTCGCTCGCCAGATAATGAATTAATGGGCATATTCTGTGATCTTTCCAAGTGTCTAGAGAAGTGTTTTCAGACACGTATTGTGTCAGAAACACTCTTCAGCAGACAATCACTGCTCCTGTGGAGCCAGTTACATACGCCGTACAATTAGGCGTATTTCTCGTCGAATTTCCGAACATCACCCTGCCTGGTTAAGCAAAGGTCAAATAAAATCTATTCACATAGCGCTATTCTGGCTCATCTTGTGGAGACAGAACACAAGATTGACGTTAATCATGCTTTCAGGGTCATTTACCGCATACCTACAAATCTCAATTTCGCTTTAAGAGTTCGACTTCTAAATATTGCTGAGGCTGTGGGGATTCATATTAATAAGCCTAATTTATACACCCAAAAGAAGTTAGTTCAGTCATTATCATTACCTTGGCCATCCAGGTTTGAATAATCCAGAATTTTTGTGAAATTTCCCTAATTTTAGTTGATATTCTATTCGCTGTTATATCTTTGTTATTATTATTATTATAATTTAAGCATCTTTAATGAACTGCAATAGCATTGATCATACTTTACAAATCGATATTATTAAAAAAACGCTAATATTGTTATTAACTACTAATTTAAAATATTCTGTGTATATAAACATATATATATATATAATTGTAGAGCCTGGAAGAGGAATTTATCGAGAAGAATATTCCTTGCTCGGTGGCACAGTGGTTAGGACTCTCGCCGACCATGCATATGGTCCGGGGTTCGATCCCCTGCCGGCGCACACCCGATACCTATGGTCGGCCTGTGAAATTTGGGCTACCGATATCCATGCTGAAAATTCCATACTTGTACAGAAAATACGGTGTAGAATCAAGCTGTAATCAAAGTAAAGTAAAAATTATTTTGTGTTTTATAGATGTCTGAATGAATATTTTTGCTATAAGGAAAAGTATCGCTTCTGGTTGAGTCATTGTGTGTGTATATTAGTTCACTTGTGCAATACGGAGCAGAGTTTATCAGCTGTTCTCAGAGTCACTTTCCCAAGTGTATCCCAGAGCACTGGCCAGCCTGGCCAGACAATAGATAAACGAATAACATGCATAATTCTATCCTTAAAAATCGTATCACTCATGAGTGTAAATGGAATCTGTGTATGACTGATTTATTCACAGACTCGTTGATCCCCAGTATCATAAAAGTGTACTTCAAATACTCAAATTTATGTGCATCTGAATTACCGGTTATTTGGTACTTAAAAGGTGACCTTTGTTTCCAAAAGCGATTTATAAACCGCCTTGACTTACCATGACCACAGTTGTAGACTTTATTATTATTATTATTATTAGACAGTATGACTCTAGTTACAGGAATGATCACGAGCCGATATCAGTTAGAGAACTACTGGGGAACCTAGGAGTTCTCCACAGTTATTTCATCCCGGTTTGAATCTCTTCAGCAGTAGGCATCCACAGGGGTAAGTACTCAGGAACTTCCAGTGAGCTCGTAGACCATTCAGCCACTGGGAATCGACCGAAACTACAGTCTTTAATAAAGTTTTCTCACATTCTATGCTTGCGATTTTGTCTGAACTCATCGGATTAAATTGGCAAACTTGATTCTATAAACTAAGTCCATTTCAATTAATAGTGTTCTCTGAGCTGGTTGGTTTAGTTGCGAAGCTTTCGTCGTCCTTCTGGACAACATCCCCTTTCAGCGCCATATTTAGCACAAAGTGAAATGATTTAAATTTCTTCATGAGTGATGTAATTGCGTCTCCTGGTAACCATCTTTACATATGTATTGACCACTTTCTATTGACTTGGATTTTAAACTTTCTGGTCACCTGATTTACTTTTTATTAGTTGGTATATTTCATCTATATTAACGTGTTTGTTAATTGCATTTTCGCTTGAGTACCAGGCTTCTAGGAATTCTCTGGCACTTTTCGTGTTTCTTCTGTCTAAGATTTTGACATGATCCCAATCAAATTGATGACCATAATTGTCTGTATGCATTGATACTAAAGAATACATATCATGTCTTTACACGGCTGATTTATGTTCTTGGATTCTGATTCGGAGGGGACGCCCACTTTGGCCGATGTAATGTTTGTTGCAGTTCATGCATGCAATTTATTTTGTAGATGGTATTAATTTTATCCCCTTTTTCTGTTGGATCTTTTGGTTTGCATAATATCGAATTAAGCGATTTTACTGGTTTGTGTGCTATATCTATATCTAACAGTTTCATTATTCTAGCTGTTATTTCAGAGATATTCCTCATGTATGGTAGAATGAATATTCTTGTGGTCTTTGATGATGGTTATTTGTTGGTGTTTTGATTCGACTTTAAACACATTTTGGTGAAATTTTGTGGATAACCATTCTTTTTGAAGACCGTTTGTAGGTACTTTTCTTCCATTCCTTTCAACTCTGGAGTGCTACAATGTGTCTGAACTCTTTTAAACAATGTCTGCACGCAGTTTCGTTTGTGAGTAACTGGATTATTGCTAGTATAGTTGAGTATTTGATCTGTGTTTGCGTTGATTTTCTGTATACTTGTGTCGCTAAATCTCCTGTGTTGGTTCTCCTGATTAAGACATCTAAAAATGGGATTTTGTTATCTAATTCTTCTTCTCTTGTGGTGAATTTGATGTCTTCAAATATGTTGTTTATTAATTTCGTTCAAAATATGATCAAATCTAAAAGCTTCTTCTTTCCGTTTAGAAATAAAACCTTCAGTATACTCGTTCTGCGATTTCACAGTGTCGTAGATCTTTTCGTGAGGGTGGTAATTTGCAAAGGGTCACAGACTTGGAAAACTGGCGTGGGAAACAGCATATACATAAGCGTTGTTCGAGGAGCTTTAGACAAGTCCACTCTTTAGATGTCCTACAATGTATGATCACCAGGAGATTGAGTGCCTAGAAAGACTGAGTAGAGTGACGTTTCTTTCAAATCCTCATACAATTCTTCCCATTAATAAACTTCAACAAGGTAGGGACGACAAATGTAACATCTTTCGGACACTTGTCATGCTGTGTACAGTCTGAAGGTGTTCAAAATAATCAACAGGCGAAGGAAACCTAGCATGATACATTCCAGTGAGGCAATTGTCATCGGCCAAGTTAAACTTTAAGCACCAGTAACTAGCAATCAGCGAACGACGTCGATTTATCCAATGAGATTCACGAACGTAGTTCAATGTTGTATAGCGCTTGATTCATTTCAGTGCGTGCCCTTACATGGTTACGTTTGCAATTCGAGGAGGTTAGTGTCTTTCAGTATTTCCTGGACTTAGGCTTGCTTCGAAAGGAGAGAAGTTGTTCGTGTGGTGGTATAGTGACTCGAAAAAGCTATACTTGGTCAACTGATGGTTCTGTACATCGTTGTGGAATTTGCTGGAAGCGAGTTGGTATTAGAGAGGGTAATATTTCGTAGGAAATTTTTTTGCTAGGTTTTATCTCTCCCTAACCCAGATTTTGTACATTTGCATTTACTGGGTACCGAAACAGCCCGTGAGAGCCGCTGCTGCCGAGACGGAGAACAGTTGAAAGGCTATGATTCATTGTCATCCCTGGAATACATTCATCACAGAGTGAACCACTCCAGTGATTTCGTGGATCCAGTTACAAGGCCTCATAAAAATTTCACTGAAGGATTTTGGGGTCGATTAAAAAATAGAATAAGGGCTATAAATGGGTCTCAAAAGGATCTCATTTATAGTCATTTAGATGAATATATGCATAGAATGTGGTGCGACTTTTCTATTGACAATCCGATGCTGAATTGGGAAATGTTTCTGTCCCATGTTCGTGAAAGATACCCGTTGTAATTGTTTCATCCTATTTTTTATTCAATTTTATATGAATATACATTACCACTTATCATAAACGCCTCTTTCATGTGATTGGTCCGTTCAAGGTCGTTTGCTGATTGGTTGTTACTGGTGCTTAAAGTTTAACTTTGCCTTGTCATCGAATAATTAAAACCAGATCTATGTATGCAGAAAGAGACAGTGGTGAATCTTGCACTGCATACAAATTGTATTACGTCACATTCTGTCCTGTTTAGGTAATTTTATTGTTTCATCTGGATATAAATCAACCCACCCCTGTTCCTTGGCATTTTATGAAAACGTAATATTCCTGGTTTCGTAGTTAGACTTTGTTTCTATCAAAAATAGTTTGTTCAACTCTGTCTTTTTGTTTCCGAGCATATTCATCCAGTTATCATATCAATATTAGATGCTTTTAACCTCTAATCATTCAACAAGTTACATCATTCCGGACTAGCGTTTCTCTTAGCTTCTCCCAATTACTCCTTGTCATCGCGAAAACAGTATGTTCAAATTCCTAATGTAATTTTTGTCGTTGTACTGTTCAGAGTGTAGTTAGTTGAAAAGAATCCTTGAAGTAGTGAAAGATGAGCTCATATTATCTAGCTTCTTGACACACATAAACTCACTAGTGGAGGGAATAAAATTCACATTTGAAGCCGAAAATGAACATGGAGAATTAGTTATGGTGTTGGATTGTAAAATAAAACGAATAGAAGAAGGCAAACTACACACTAGTGTTTATAGAAAACCAGCGCATTCTGCTAACAGATATTTAGACTTTAATTCATTTCATCCGTTAACTGTTAAGGCAGGCTTAGTTAAGTGTTTAACAAACCGAGCAATGGCACTAAGTAGCACAAAAAAAGACCTAAATGATGAAATAAAACAGAGAGAAGAGGCATTGGTTTTAAATAACTATCCTCTAAAATTCATTAGGAAGATTGAAAAACGCCAGAAGAAAAATAAAAAGAATTGTGAAACTAGTAATAATAACATAAATAAGAGAGAATATAAGTCATCTACAGTTATACCATATAAAGAGGGGACATCTGAGACCCTACATAGGATTCTAAATAAAGCAGGAATTATGGTGGCATTTAAACCTACAAACTCACTCAGGGACAAGCTCTGTAGGTTAAAGGACCCAGTGGACCCAATTAGACAAAATAATATAATCTACAAAATACCCTGCAATGACTGTGAGGTCAACTACACAGGTCAAACTAGTAGGTCAGGGGTAGTCAGATTGTCAGAACATAAGAATTTAGCTAAGGTAAGAATGGTTGACCCAGAGAAGATAAGTAATTTAGAAAAAAGCTCAGCAATTCCAATGCATGCATTAGCACACAGCCACACAATAGGGTGGGAGAGGGTTAAAATTCTAAAAAGTAATCTAGGTAGGTGGAGAGCGAGAGAGGTTGATTATTGAATCCTTGTTCATCGAATTTACGCCCAACACATGCAATAGGAATGAATCATCACTCATACCCGAAATATGGAAAATAATACTACCAATCAAATCAAGTGAAAATCAAGTGAAAAACAACGGAACTATATAAATGAATTTCGGAAGTCGTGTGATTACCTTGATATGATTATCAGTAGCAATAAATTGTGCTCGAAACGTCATCAGTAAACATTACTGTATAACACTGTGAGACTCTATCAAAATAAAATTTACCCATAATGGAATTACACTCTACCACAGTGCCCAAGTTTTATTCTTATATTATCAGCTTGGTTCATTTATTGTTCATCCTTTGCTTAAATTTATCAATATTTAATCGATTTCTTAAATCCTTTGGTGGATGTAAATACCCTTGTACGTACAGTGAATTCCATAGATGATTTACCAGTTATTAAGTTCTCTTCACTATAACACTTCTTCATACCTCTACAACGAAATTTCTTGACATAAAACCTCGTGTGACCACAATAACTTTTCAAGGGGACTTTTGATGACCACGATGTCTGATTATATGTCATATATGTTACAGCACAAAGTGAAAAGATAAAAAACAAGTACAAATGTCTATCACAAGAAATTGGTTTGTTTTCACAATTATCTTCACTTACCTGCAGGGCAGTAGGTTGTTTTCCCAACTAAGAATAAACAGAAATGATTGAATTTATGCAGATGTGTCTCACGATGTCGTTGATAAATAAATCCATGCGGTGCTACACAATACTGGACTTCAACAACTGCAGATGACTCTAATTTGACAAGTTGTTTTTGCAGCACAAAGTTAGTCATACACTGACTACCATTGATAAAGATTGGATAGCCAAGGATACCGGGATCAGCTTTAAAAATAAGTGAAAACATTTGATGAAAACTTTTCATAGCTACTCATGAGTAGTTAAAATAAATCGCATAAATATCTTTCATCAGGGCAGATCTATTCATCATTAGACTTTTAGGAAGTCACAAGATCTCACTGTTAGTATTAATAATTGAGTGTAATTGTGCAACTGAGGAATCCCCAGTCACCAAAATGATCAGCTGTAATGTAGTAGTTATAAGGAATGAAGTCAATTAGTCAGATTTACGTTCAGATCAGTTCTAGTCCGATTCTGTAAACTGCCGATTAGAATAAGTGGTAGGAAATCAATCACCTCAAGCAGTGGTCCCTAATAGCCATGTTGTAGTAAACTAGTCAGGCCGATTAGATTAACAAAATCAATGCAGGCGAACACACTACAAAGAAATCTCTGATCAACCATAGTCACGGCCCTCAAGGAAGGCGGAGATTTCTTCTACAAACTCATTTTACATTGAAGTTAGCCTTGAAAACCTTATCCATAAAGAAAGGTAACAAAAGCTTTTCAATTAAAACAACCAGCTGAGAGAATATAGCATAACATTTAAAAAAATTATTTCGTTATCAAGAGTTTATTTATAGCGATTTTATTTTTTTCAAGTTTGATTACGGATTGATATCAGTTATAGAACAGTTGAAAACCACCGAGGAGTAGTGGACAGCAGTTTTGTACAGGTGATTTCGTGCTAAAATCATGGAATGTTAAAAGTTAGAATTCACGGGTTGGTCATTAAGTCAGGTCCCATTGGCTGAATGGTCTACAAACTTGCCTTGTAACCAGAAGGTCCTAGGTCTGAGATCCGGTGGGTGCCCTCTGATGATGAGTTGCAAACTATGCTGACGAAACAGTTGTCCAGCACTTCCTGGTGGTTTTCAGTAGTTCCCTAACTAATATCAATCCGTGATCAAATTTGGAAATGAGAGTTTTTACAGGCAGTCGGATTCAAACAGAATGAAAGTATAGTCATGGCTTACAGTGTATCCTAAGTACTTAGTTTTCAGTGTTTAAGTGAGAACTTTAGATAACTCCCAAACTACGTTGAAATATCTCTCTTGAATGTGTCTAGTCACAAGGTCTTAGTTTTTGTTCATCATGAACAGACTGAATGACTGACTGACTGACAAACTGAACTTTCAGCAAACAAATTTTGCATAAAAGTTCATCAATACAAGTTGCGAAGTAGGTAGAATACACGTGCATTTAAGGAAGACAGAAGATTTTTTTTTGGAGAATAATTAGGATTCAATAAATATATTAGAAATCACAAGGAGTGGATATATTTGTGATAGTAAAAACGATTTCGAGCCATGTCATCAACGATTCCTAGTCAGTGATTCATAATGTATTCAAGATCCTAACCAAGCAGGGATTTCATGGAGTGAGGCAGGGTTTTGTTTTGACCTCCACTAACTAAATCGCACGAACAGTCCTATGTCGGCTAATTTCGTTAGCTAAAGAAGTCAGTGTCTTGGCATGCGTAAGAAAAGTCATTGCAGTCTCAATCAATGCAAGATTACTTGATGTCTGACCACGGACTGCAAACAATCCAAAAGCTTGATATGTATGTTACTCTCATACACTGGCCTCCTCAGCATGTGTCCGATCCATATTTTATTTTCTTCTAAATATTTATCGTTCAACAGATTCTTGGTCAATTCATTCCAAGAATTTCTTGTTGGCAATTCTTTCTGGCCTACAATCTAATCTTCAGTATGGAGCTAGAGAAGGCAGCTGTTGATTAAGGTCTGCGGTAGCCTGTTGCAAGTGCTTTCCGAGGAGCGTATGTCAAGCCTACAAGTGACTTAACATTGGTGTTGAAAATCCGAATTTCGTTTAAATGTGTGTTGAGTGCAGAGGATTTTCAGGCTGATTTAAGAGTGATGAATCTCTACTTTACCTTTCCAACTCTGCAGTTTAGGTGGTCATCTGTAGCTGGAACGATGCTGCTAAGACAGATAGATGGAAAAAGTGATGTCTTTCAAATGTATTCCCTTTATAACAACAGAAGACAAGGGCCAGGCAACATATCGTTTGTTTAGGAAATCAACAGATATTTATCGATTTTCATGTACATTATTGTAGATTATTGTGAGCAGACAAACACAGTCTTCTGATTGGTGGTTTCTCGCTGAACGTCAATCTTTCATCCCTTTGTGGCAGTTGTTTCTTGAAGTTCAGATTACCTATCTGCAAATTGTATCCGCCTACGCAAACAAAGTCTGCTGTGATTGGTTGTTGAGTCAGTCAGTCAGTCTTTGTTCTTATTTTTCTCATGACCAATATTGGAGACGTACACATTGACGTAAATTACTATCTACCAATTTCGGCTAGCAGCCAGCTCTCACCACACCTTGATAATGATTAGTGCATTTGGTTTTACACTAGGTATCACCTATAGATCTTCGGGTTTGTGTAACACTGGACACAGCTGAAGCTTTTTCTCCACATTTAAACTGTCTCCTTTTCAGATAACTTCTTAGCGCATTCCGGAATCTCTAGATGGAGCATAGTATTACATGAATGGAAGCGATTTTATGACGTATTCACACCAAAAAAAGTATCTTATGTTAAACTTCCAATAAAACCGTAAACAGTCAGTGTGGAATTTCTTTCGCCAAATATCAATCATCACACTCGAAATAACAATATCACATTTTTGTGGCGGGACAATTCAAATTTCAACAATGATTGTTGTTGAACATTGTACATACATACAATACTCAATTATGAACTCTATGTTTACTTTATAATATGACAACTATAAATTAATCTATTATTTTTTTTTGTTGAGATTTGTGTATTTTATAAACATTTCTTAATTGTGATGAAATAAAATATACATTTTGGATAAAAGTTTACAATTCTAAAATTGTTTAGAATAATGTACATGGTGAATTAATGTATAATATCGATCGTATATAGACATCAACTAGTTAGTAAATTGACTGATGTCAATGAAGTATTGATTTGTAACACAAACAATTTGAAACTAGCTGTGTTAATTATTTAGTGAATGAAATACATTTGTTTATATCTACTGATAATTAATTGTTAGCGGGAATTTCAAATTTTATACGTGTATTTGGCGGCTGTTTATTAGCTATTGGATATGGCAAAATAATTTCAAATTATCAAAATAATAAAAATACTTCAATCCTTCAGCTGTTTACCTAAGGAATCACCATCGACCACTTGAAAGTGTCGACTTATGTGTTCAGAAAAAAGCAGTTATCAGTCAGTTTTTCCTTGCCAGTGTTGGGTAACTGAAGGTCTTTATTCCCTCTCTCTTTTATATTGTATAACTTTGTTTGTTTCTGTGATTTGAGTTGAAGTTAGCATATTGTTGTTCAGTTTTTATTAGTTACTCGTCATCTTACTCAACTCTTGTGTTTATTACACAGCTCCTTTGCTGTATTAAGCCGATAATTATTTCTGTTTAAACTTGAAATCTCCGGGTGGAATCTATGTGAGTTTAATTTTTCTGAGCACTGTTTATTAAGTTTAGAGTCTTCTGTCAACTGACATTATATAATATTTGCAAGTATATTAAAATATTTCTGTACATAATCTTAACAATTTCTTTAGTCTTTATGCAACTGATGGGAAGCCGACGAAGTAAACAGTGATGGTATCATCTTATTCTGAGCAAACCGCTGTTGTTCTTTCTTTATTCAAATTCTAAAAAAAATTCAGCCGATATATCGTCAAGAAGTGATGTTATTCAGAGAACCATTAAGAAACAACAAGAAGAACTGGAATTTGATTTCATTCTAGCCATAGACTCTTCAGCGGTGCGTATCTGTGATTCCACTAGAAATAGTACTCAGGACCTTCAGTCTATGAGCTGAGTCCATTACCTATTCATTTACTGAGGTCCTCGATGCGTCGTCATCTCGAAGCAATGCCATCGAAGAGCATTCGATTTACAGCCGAAATCTTGATCCTGACAGGAAAAGACTTCTCACCCTGGAAGGCTGGGGCGTCATTTTCTTCTGAACTTCAAGTTATTTCTGGCCCGAAGACACAAATTAAATTTGGAACTACGTAAAAACGGGTAAACAACTCAACTTGACTCAACCAACTGTGGCATAGCACTTTCCAGGGACTCCTAAAGTACTTCGAGATATTTCTCAGAGGTTATGTCCAAAGTTTATTGATTAGACACCTAGTTATCCAATAGTTTGACAGCTCATCGCACCAGTTCTGTTCCCAAACAAAATAGTACATCTTGTGGAGATCATGCATGTAACCCGTTTAATTTGAAAGTGAAATGCCCATAAAAGTTGGCTAGAAATTAAATATGAATATGTATGGGTAAGGTTTAGTAACTTAAAATAAATTGAGAGTCTACGGAAATGTTGCATCATTTAGTTTAACTGATGCAAGAGAAATCAAAGTCAATACAAGAGACAGAAATGTATCCTCATCTGTAATGAACAGTTATTCTATATCCTGATGCCCATTAACTAGGGCTCTATCTGATCCATCATTGCTTAGATATGCTAAGAACTTGTGTAACCCATAAGTAAAGTAGTACTGTGGGAAGAGCTGGCTGCTAGCCAAAGTTGGTAGACAATAATTGACGTCAATGTTTATGTCCCCAATATTGGTGGTGAGAAAATGAGAACAAAGGCTTTGCGTAGGCGGATACATTTAGCATATGGATGATCTGACACAGCCACAAAGGGATGCACGTACACGTTTTTCTGCTCTAACGTACAATCATGAGTGGTCGCGGTAAAGGTGGAAAGTCTCGAGCGAAGGCAAAGACTCCGTCTGCTCGTGCTGGTCTTCACTTCCCAGTTGGTCGCGTACATCGTCTTCTTCGCAAGAGAAACTACGCTGAACGTGTCGGTGCTGGAGCACGCGTCTACCTGGCGGCTGTTCTCGAGTATCTAGCCGCCGAAGTACTCGAATTGGCTGGTAATGCCGCGCGTGACAACAAGAAGACCCGTATCATCCCTCGCAAGGTTAACTTTCTGTGAGAAACAACCAATCAAAAGACTGTATTTTCTACTAACAATAATCTACAATCATGTACATTAAAATCTATAAATATGTGTTGATTTTGTTTAATAAACTATCTGTTGCCTGACCCTTGTCTTCTCTTGTTACAGTACTATTCCAATTCAGCCTTACAGGTCACAAACTGGACAGCAATACGACAGCTTCATTGATCACAACAATATGGCACAGAAGGGAAAAGATTCCAATACGCATCAGGGTGATATCTGATAGGTTCGCTTTTAATTTCAACGAATGCTAGGCCAGCAATAATCGAAGTGATCTGTTGCTTAGGTATCGATTCTTTAATTTCCTCAAGTTAGGGATATTCGCCTGTGAAGCTATCGTATGTATCATTCATTTAAGACATTGTGTTCTTAAAACAAAGTGTTGAAGAAGCCTGACTGCATGGTCAATAAAAGTATCTATAGTTCACAAAGCAGATGAGCATCTTCATTGTTAAGTTTATTTTGTCAACTAACCTCCATTGAAGTTGCTGACAATATTTTCTTCCGTGTAGAAATGTATACTACTTATTATTGATAAGTAGTACAGTTTAATTCCTAAAGAAATCGTGGTAGATGGTGACCGGTTGTAGAATTCAAGATAAGCATTTCATCCCATTTGGGACTCGTCTACCTGCATTTCCGATGAGTGATGGTGTTCCAACTGAGCTTATCCTAAAAAAACCGTCGAAGCCACTGTATTGCGAGCCGACTAGTCATCAGAGGCCGAACATTCCGGTCCAGTCAATCAATTGGGTAATTCGAAATTCAAGTATACACAAAGAGTTATATTCTGCTTACAACTTCATTTCCCAGTCAGCTGGCCTACGATCTATAATTCTGATTCTACGTCTCTCCTACGTACACATATTTCTGAATCTCGAATCTTCACCTTGCTTAAACCCCTATACCACCTGAATTCCCATGCAGCAAGATGCATCTACTTTTCTCCGTTTCTTATTGTTTTAACTGACCACTTCTTTGCTTGGGTAGCATAATGAACTCAAGCGGATTTTTAACTGCTTTCAAGTCATCAAAAATAGAAGGAAAGAAGAATGTCACCCAGCAATGAGTATTGTTATACCTGAAATAACTTGTCGTCATACGCTATGCTGTCGATGAATATTTTAACTTGAAGAAACTATGCGGGCAGTAAAGTTTTTGCAAGAAATTAGGCTGAGAATTCCGTGTTCTGTTAAGACTCAACATCCAGAATTAGGATGATATTATTACTTTCCCCTTATTCAAAAAGGCGTCAACAGCAGGTCTCCATTTTGTCTCATTCTCCGCAGTTCTGTTCGGCCGACCTCTAAGTTGCACATAAGCTCTCATTTCCCCATCACATGATCTCCTCCCCGTCACCCTCAGAAGCCAAACTTTCCGTTTCCAATTCGAATTCCACTCGAGTGATGACCTGAAGTGCGATGTCACTAGAATGTCACCTCGTCGTCTAGCCAACCCTTCTCCATTTTATTCAAATTCTCCCTTGAGAAATAAATTCTACCTTAGCTCATTCCCACAACTTCTGATCGCCGTTTCCTTCCTGCCAACAATCTCATTCTCAATATGGAGCCAACGAAGTCACTTACTGACAAAAGTCTGCACTGGTCTGTTGGAAATGCTCTTCCTGACACACTCACCAACTCTCTGAACCACACAGAAGAACTGACTGACATAACAATCGTGTCGGAAATCCGGAGTTCTCTCTTCATGCAGAATAGTCAGTCAGAAAGTTGTCAAACTGATTTCAGATTAGTGGAGGTGTGTCTCACCTTCCGATTCTGGTTTTGACATTGTCATTCGTGCTGTCGCGTGTAGCTAGAGGGATTCTACCTCGCCAGGTAAATGAAGCAATTGACCTCTTCCAAATTTATTCCGTTGATAGTGACTGGTTCTTGTTGTTGTTGTTGTTGGTTATCTTCATCGCCTCCGTCTTCTCTATGTTCACTGGATGTCCTGTCATCACTGCCAGCCTCTTCTGCCAACCTGTGGTCTTCACCCGTAGGTCTTCCAATTTGTATGATATTAGACATAGACCATCAGCGAAATCCAGATTTTCTAAAGTCCAACATATTCCTGTCATCTCGCTCCCACGCATGGTGTGTCGCATAATCCAGTCCACTACAATAAGGAACATCATCAATGATAGTAGGCAGATAGCTTTGTCCATCTCCGCTCCTCATATCAGAGGTTTCCCTGAGTTTTTCGTTATGAATCACTTGACATTTAGCATTATCAAATAGCTGTTGAACGAGGTTGATGAATATTTGAGGCACTACACTCCGTAGTGGTAAACTGCTTTCAAAATTACTACGCGGTTAACACTACCAAAAGCCTTTTCATATTCGATAGAGGTGAAGCAGAGATATGATTGCCATTCCATTCTGATACTATTATTCCTTAAATACTCAGGATCTTTTTTGACACAACCCTGTCGTTGATTTCATGGACACCCCTTCGTGATAGTGTGATGTCAACCACACTTGGACCAGACACCTCACAACTTAAGGTTTGTGTTTATTATTCACCACTGTCCCTATTAATACAGTATCACATTGATATGTTGGTCGATATCCGGTCTGGAAATAAGTAGTCAATCAAATTTTGGCCTACGTAAAAATAACGCCCTCTATTTTATTGATCATGATTTCAAACTAATTGACACATCCTTGATGATTTTTTTAACTCACATATTATTACGTACAGTATACTTTGCAGCTCATGTCGTTCGTTACCTGTTCTCATTAAGTAGTTAGTGCGGGCCGAGGAAGTAGCTGGCTGTTGCATAATGTTGTTGGTACAGTCAAACAAAGCTGTTCAACTGAACAGCCTTGTTTCCATCCTGACGTATTGCGAAGCATAGCACATACAGATCTTCTTCAATAATGGTAAGTCAAATCTTTCTTTTTTTTCGATTTAACAAGTTCTGAAAGTTCTCAGGGAATAATTTCACATTCTAAATTCCTTGGGAAGAAATCACTATGGACTCTGTGCATACTACATATCTCTTCTTATAACATAAAAAAGGGATATATATATATATATGTAGTACTTACAGCATTTAGGAATATCACAATATTGTAATCCAGAAGGGATAACTCGACCATTTAAAGGATAACACCATGGTTGAGATTTAATACCACCGGGATTTCGACAGGCACGAAAATTTTCTATCTCTGGACTTGATGCAAGTTCCCTGTATGTTGCATTATAATTTAGAAAAAAATTATAACTATTGCCGAGATCTACACGGAAACTACTGATTCGCCATTTTGCACAAGGCTGAAGTGGGTAGAGAGAGAGAGAGCAAGCACCCAACAAGATGGAGAGAAAAAAATATAGACAATGTGAATTCGCGTTTAATGATTAGACGAAATAATTACTAATATAACTGCCACTACGACTACATTAATAATAATAATAATAGCAAATAATAATAACCTTAAGCCAAACAATAATCCTTTATACAGAGCGGAATTTAAAATATAAGGGGGAATTTAGAGAACAGTTAAACTGTCCGTTCAGCACAATCAGCGCTTACATATCGCAACATTGATGAAGTTACCCCTAGACTGAAAAGAGATACGAAGAGAAAGTTGTGAATGATTAGGAGGTGCAAGGCCGGACAAGATAACTTGAGCCAACTGCTCGCATGCATAGCCTTTCAAGTACTTTTGTGTTCTACCTTTGATACTATTCCTTCATAAAATGCATAGCATTAGGTGTAAATCTATTTATAGACTGTGATTCAAAAATCTGCTACCCAGTTTTTAGCGAAAATTAAAGGCATTCAAACAGACGATCAAAAAATAATCATATTCTTCGATGTCACAACAGTGTATACTTGTGTCTAACAACGTCTTTTCAGTTCAGCGGCCAAATATATGAATAAATGAAATGGAACACATATCGGATCGCCCAGATCAGGACTGGTCGCAGAAGGTCTTATACAAAGACTTAAAAACAAAATCTTACCAAGGATCAAAACCAAGATTTGGATACGTTACGTGGACGATACATTTGTGTTAATCAGAGGAAACGACTTGGACAACACTCACAGCTTGATAGACAGCTTCTTCAACAATAGATACACATGAGAGGAGGAATTTTAGTAAAAAATACTCGAATTTCAGACGTTTTAGTCAGGCGAACAACTATAGAAATGGTGGAAACTCAAGTATACAGAAAACCAACTTACAAAAACTAAATACTCGATTACAACAGCGGCAGCCCAGTAATACACAAAAAGAGTTACAACCAAACACTACTGGAGAGTGCCAGGACGCATTGCAGCACTCCTACCTTAAGGAAAATTGAAGAAAATTATCTTATGGACGTCTTTTACAAAAATGGATATCCACAAAACTTCATCAAAAGACACCTTCCCCCAATCCAGCCAACCAAATCAAAGGCCCCCAGTAATAATACAGCGAAAATTGTCCAAATCTCTATACAAAGAAAATCTTCGAAATCACTGCAAGACTAGGTTAACTCTTTTGTGATTGGTGTTACTCACAAGACAAAAAGTCACTTCAGTAGACTCAATGTCAACCAAATGACTCAACAGCAAAAGAAGATAAAACCATAATCTTCCACAAGATAAATTGCACCGACTGAGAAAAATATTACATTGGTCAAAGTGGATGCCTTCTTCGTCTACATATTCATGAACATAAAGTGGCCGTCAAAAGACACATGATCCACTCCTTCATATCACTGCGTACAGACAACCACGGACACCAGTTCGATTGGAACAATGATCGGACTTTAGACATAGAAAACACCGAAAACTCCGGAGAATTTCTAGAAGCCTGGTAGTCAAGCGAAGTGGGCAATCATTAGACACATTAACACTGATAAGATTTACCAGTCATAAAAAGGAAATCTCATGAAGAAAAAAGTGAAATTTCAGGTCAGGGAAAAAATCAATACCAATAGAAGTAGATGAGAATGTGAGGAAATACATAAAAACAACCAAATGCGTTCAAGGTTACCAGGGGAGATGACTAGTAAACTTGTGGAAAAATTTAAAAGCTCACTTCACATTGAAGTATGCGCTGAGGATTTTGCCTAATAAGGCAATAAAAGCTTCTCAGCTCACAACACCAGAACTTCATTGGTAACATTTGTAACTACAGCAGTTAGTGGCACGGATTCATTAAGGTTGTAGATATGTCTTTCGGATGAATGCCGACAAGCACAAAACTCAGTTCCAGGGCTTCCTACTGATCTAACATTTAACATCGATTCAGAGTGCATTGCAGTGGCCAGTTTCCTAGTTTGGTGATTAAATTGCCACACTGACTGCCAGAATCCGATCAGCACCAATATCAGGGACTAAATGAGTGGTACTGGTTACTACCTACCAACCAATCAATGTATCCACTGTAGTTTCACAAGCGGCTAATGATGATTTATTTGCATCCTTTTGAGCGATCGAGTATTTAATGAGACTCAAAGGGACCACCCATCACTTTTAACTCTGAAGCATTATCTACCAGGCCACTGGGCAACCGAAAGCCGCCTCCTTCTTGTACAACGAATAGGATTTGACATTATTTATTATCTTTAAATTAGACATCACTCTTTAGCTTACCTGTCCGTCTGAAGTTTGATCTTGATCACCACTGTAATCTTCACCGTTCCCTTCATAACACCCAACATGTTCAGCTGAGGAACAAAAACAAAAAGCAAAGTAGAGTTGTAACTTTTAGTTTTACTATATTGTTTCAAAGAATTGTTAGAGAACGTCAGAAGTTCAGTTAATCAGTATCAGTCAGCATTAGAAAACATTGCAGTGGGATCCAGGATGCGCATTTTATCCATCCTGAGATTCGTCAAATAGAGGTGGTGATAATTTGTCAAGTAAGATTTGAAATCGCCACTCATCGTTTATAGATTTCAGCTAAAATTAATACTTCCGTTATCATTACCATCTTAGTTTGTTAGATTTTGGTGAAGAAAGTGAGAAGACAATTTCAATGATATCATCATTGCCTAAAGTTGTACGAACAAAAGATTACCGACCTGTGGTCATGTCATCTACAACATTGTGAATTGGCTGTGAACAGAAGCCCCGTAATAGTCTGGGACTCTTTAGTTGTATACGCACTGATGACTCGACCAAAGATAGTATTCAACACGTTAACATTCAGCCACTGGGACAAACATGTCCCCAAACATGATCGACTAGGAGCCTTTTGTATCTTAGGCAGGCATGATGAGCACTACACCATATAGACCACTGAGGTGTGAAGAATAAACTAAAATATTTGTTTTCATATTGGGAAAGAAATCATGGGTATGTATCGCTGAAGAGTGTCAAACTAAGATGAAGCGGCTACCTAATTCTCCTTGGTTTTCATTGACTGTTCACTTCATGACGAATCAGTGAAAATTCCTACAAAACCTAAGATCTAGGGATCACAAGTGAAAATTGATAATGGTAAATAAATGGCAAACTCCCTCCTCCTAAAGTGGACTAGAGTCCCTACACCTTACCTTCAGTAATAAAACTCTGGTGCTTTGTCTATTGAGTCATCCTAGCCTGATGCAGATCCGGATCCCACGCATGTCTGATATCATAAATATTCGAAGACCTACGGGTGAAGACCAACAGGTTGGCAGAAGAGGCTGGCAGTGATGACAGGACATCCAGTGAACATAGAGAAGACGGAGGTGATGAAGATAACAAACCAACCAACCGACAACAACAACAAAACAGAACCAGTCACTATCAACGGAATAAATTTGGAAGAGGTCAATTGCTTCATTTGTCTGACGGGGTAGAATTCCTCCAGCTACACGCGACAGCACGAATGCCAATGTCAAAACCAGAATCGGAAGGTGAGACACACCTCCACTAATCTGAAATCAGTTTGACAACTTTCTGACTGACTCTTCTGCATGAAGAGAGGACTCCGGATTTCCGACATGATTGTTATGTCAGTCAGTTCTTCTGTGTGGTTCAGAGAGTTGGTGAGTGTGTCACGAAGAGCATTTCCAACAGACCAGTGCAGACTTTGTCAACAGGTGACTTGGGTGGCTTCATATTGAGAATGAGATGGCTGGCAGGAAAGAAACGGCGATCAGAAGTTGTGGGAACGAGCTAACTCAGAATTTATGACTGAATAAAATGGAAAAGGGTCAGACAGACGTTTGGGAGGCCTTCGGGTAATATCGCACTCTAGGTCTTCAGTCGAATGGAATGCGAGAGGGAAACGATGTATTTAGTATGGCTTCAAACTGCTACATTATTGAAATAGTGTGAGGAAGAGATGAAAGACAATGGGGAATCGTAGAGCCGGTCTAAGGTTACTGCAGAGAATGGGACAAAGTTGAGATGTGCTGCTGGAGACCTACTTTCCAGTCGGAATCCAAAGCATTAATATTACGATTCAATATAATGAGTTTACATCTCAAACTGTGTAATTTGTAAACTGCAAGTATGAACCAAGTGGCTTTTCACCCTCGCCTCTAAATTCATTCTGTTGCCAAGTGTTAGAAACACACTAATTGGACCTACAGGTAGAAGTGTATAATCAGTTATTCATCTCTCATTTTGGGAACCATAAGAATTAGGTTTCTCTTCTATTGTTTCTCCCAGTACTAACTAATAAATTCCGCAATTTACTGCTTAGCTTCCTGGTAAGTAACTTTGTTTCATGCAACTTATTTTAGAGCGATTACTTCCTTTTATGAATTTCAACGAATGTCATACGTACTGAAGAAGGAAGACTCCAAAGCTGCAGGGCGCATTTTCAGGTGACTGTAAACACAAAGAAAGCTAACTAAATCAAGTGACTTTGAAAATAGTTGCCTGACATTATCTTTCGCGAGGGTCAACACAGAAGTAAGTCAGGACTTTCATTTTTACACTGCTTTTAAAGTCATATTTAAAACATGTCATGGTCACATGCATAAACTCTCTGAAACCCTAACCATACATTTATTCTGATTGGACAATAGTTAGTAACTAACATCACAAGTCCAGTTCTTTGGTGCAGACTGAATCCTATCAGTGAAATTAGCAGTGTGGTCACTAAGCTAGGTAGTACGCCATTACGGTGAGCTTCAAATTGTTGTCATTAGATGGTTGGGGGAAACCTTGGACCTAGGTTCCGTGGTTGTTAGCACTCCTCAGTCAGCAAGGCGAATCCGTGACCTTGAAGGAACTCATGTCCCTTCTGGGATTCTAACCCATGGCAACCAGAGACGTTACCAGTGAGCTATTCGGGCTCGCATTGGACCTCTTGTAGGACTGCATTGGATACTTTGACTGGACACTAGTTAGTAGCTGGTGTCATGCATGCACTGGTTGACACAGATTCAAATCTAAGGAGGAACATGAGCTCCTTCAGGATTACAGATACGTCTTGTGGACGATTACTAACAAGCACGAAACCTTAGTGGAAGGCTTCCTGCCGATTGGCTCCAACCATCTAATATATGTATTCATTCAAGTGTAGTTTTGCGGGGGCTTGACCGGTTACAAGATTTCATCATGAACTGGCATAGGCTAGGGAACCACTTGAAAGCCTAGGAGTACGGGATGACTGTTTCATCACAGTTTGGGACTCTTCAACAGTAAGCACCCACCGGGATTCTCCACGTCCCCCTCCCGTAGCGGCCCGGCTATTTAGTTTACTTTTTTTCATTCTGGGCGTTTCGACTGCAACAAAAGGCTTCATGCTATTTTTCAAGTTTCAGTAATGGAGATGTTGTTTTTAATAGAGTAAGAATGCTAACCTTATGGTGGACCTTCCGCCTCTTCTGAGGCTTACTACTGGCTGCTAAACTAGGCAGGTAGGAGTATGTCTGTTAGGGAAAGAACTAGGACCACATGAGGGATTATCGAGCATTCCACCGACGTTTACATCAGGCTAAAAGACCATTTAGATTATGTTATTGATATTCAAGTAAGTAGTCTGAAGTTAAAGTGTATATTTTTTTTCACCACAACGCAGTCAAGCTCATTGCTTCACACATTGATGTACAGGAGTTTTAATGGCTTTAGAAATAGCTCAGAGACAGTAATCACTGCTTTTTGTGTTTCAAGAAGGATATTCTGCTATTGTGTGTACTACGAAATAGTTTTCCCAACTCTTCTTCACTGCCGTAACGCATGTTGTTTAGAAGAAGAAGAAGAAGATATGAAAATGCTAACTGTCTCTCATTATTTTTCTTTGCATTTTGTCTATTACTTTAGGCCTTGTAATAGTGCCAGTAATCTGCAGTTTAGGTGTCGAGTGTTAGGTAAGAGGTGGAATCACTTGGTCAAGTAGTGAAACTACATTGATTGACATGGCTAACACATGTATACGCATGACAGTTCACCGCCTTCTTCACCTATTAACGTTAACTGACATAGGATTGGGTTGAGAATGCATTGTATGCGGTCAAATCAAAGTAGACTACCATCCCATGAAGTCCTTCAATACTGATATGAGCCATGTAGGTGTAGACTGCTCGCGAGAAAGTCGATGAAACGCCAAGAATCAGTAGTTGGGAAATAATTTGTGATTCTCATTGGTACAGATGTATTCACCTTCTGTAATCTTCCAGATGCGTTAAATGTTCATTTTACCCTTTGTGTGATTATTCTTTCTCCCTTTCATTTCGCATTGTTATGATTTATTCTCATTTCCGTTTTGTTTCTATACTTCTATTTTCCCTTTATTGAAGTCCATAGTACCTCACTGAAAGTTCAGTTGACTCAATCCCATTTGAAATCTTGACTGCCTAATACACTTACTTTTTTTCAAGCTCAAAGTTTTCTCAGATAATCGTATAACCCTAGGACTCTAAATGGAATTTTTTTGTCGCTGCAAGTTTATTTTTGCTCAGGTGAAGAGAGCGTTCAAAAAAAGGTTTATCAGATACTTGGTTCAAATCCTATTGGGAACAGTGTTCAACTGGCCAGATTTATTCAAATGAAGGGATTTTAAATTCTTATTTCCCCCGTTATACTGTCCGACTAAATCAAGGCTGCGTCGGTGGCACAGCGGATAGGATGCTGACCAACTTTGTACATGTGGTCCGGGGTTTGATACCCAGCCACTGGACGCACTCCTTTACCTCGCTAAGTCAGTAGTAAGACTGGGAAAGAGAGAAGACTGGGCATGAGACTAGCAACCCCATCCTGTAAAAATAATCACCAGTGCTACAGAAACTTCAAGCCTTTAACTTGCAGGCCTATGTTCCACTGGGAACGTGAAGGAATAAAAAAGAAATCAAGGCTAGCTCTCCATCATCAGTCAACATGCTTCTGCCTTACTTTTATTTCAGGAGAAGTTCCCCTGCTGACGAGCTCCTGTGATGATAAACAAAGCGTAACATACGATTGACTCACATGGTTAATTGACATTATTATTCTTAGTGATGGCGGTAAAATCATGACTTGATTAACAATGGACTAGTAACAATGAAACTTAAATGCTCATTCCGCTTTATTCTCAATCATCACCAGTTAGTTACATCATGCAAAGAGGAATATCTTCATCTAAGGATTTCAATGTCATTATTTTAAAAAAAAATCAGTGGACTTTATTTCTCTTTTTTTTTTAAAATAATTTAACCCCTCCCCTTCGCCCAAAAACGCCCCAACACAACTTACCACATCTTGGTACATCACAGTATTTAAATCTTCCAACACCAACAACACACCATGGTCCATTTGAATCATTTCCAGGATTACGACAATAATTTTGATTCTTTATAGCTTCTTCATCAGTCCAATAAGGTTTATAAAATGATTTATGATCTTTCCAGTCTAAACATTCAGTTCCATCGAAAGCAATATTGACTTTTCCACGATAATTTGTTGATCTACATTTCATTGGATCATAGGCGTGTAATTCATTGAATTGCACTTGTTCACTTGTTTCAATCGATGTTAGTAATGAAATGAAATATAAAACAATATTGGAGAATGCATAAGATAAGTGGAAAGCGGAAGAATAGTGTCGCCTGCTTCTCATTAGGCTCATTAGTTTAAATGGAAGAAAGTGATGAGTCTGCCTGGTTTTCTAATGTGGTTTTCTAACGGACTTCGAATATGAATCCTATGTTCTCTTGAATAATATATATATATATATTTGTAAACAAATTCATGCGTCCTTATAAATCTGTAGGTAAACATGCTTGCACACGCACACACACACACACAAAGACGGTTGAAATGATGTAAGCTATAGAGACAAGTGGACAGAAGTTGTAGTCCTCGCCTTCATTTCAGTAAGGCAGTATTTGTCTCTAGTATGATTTAGTTTATTGCACTTAGGCTAGATTGTAAAGTTAACTTAATAGAATAGAATATGGACTATCAAAGTAACATGTCATATCCGGTTTCATGTAAGTTAGCCATTGCATTACCATGACAAATATATAGATAGATAGATAGATAGATATTCGATATAAAACTCAGACTAGATGTAACTACTATGATTATAGTTTTTAGACTTAGATATATACAGTAACACAAGTGTATTTGCATGCGTGTGTGTGAGGGTTTTAAGATTGTTACTAGTCGAAAAATGATTTAGACTAGGTAGTTAGTTATTTCATTGCTATACTCCTTACTACTTTTATGATTGGTCATTAGTAAGTAGTATAATAGGCATGATGTATTGTTTATGTATTGTAGGCTTTATTATTATTCAGTTGTTTAATATGTTAATGATTTGGAAAAAAAAATAATTTATGATTGACATAGAAATGTTGTGATGCCTGCCGTCTGGGTAGATTTTTCGTAGATAAACATTACTTTCTGTTACCACCACTATCATTGTACATAAGAATAGACAGTTTGTTAAGTGGTTGGCTATTGTTGCCACACTGTCCAGGAAGGTATGTTTGCCACCTACCACGTCAGACATTTGAGTCCATGTTAACTTGTGCTGTGGTGAGAGATTTTACCACTAAGCTGGTCGGAGTGATGCTTAACTTCCTGGGGAATTGTAATGAAAACAACATATTCAAGAGGTAGTTTGTAGGAGTTCAATTTGTTTCCAGTATGATCCCAGAGTGATATCAATCAGAGAATTATTCGAAGCAACCAGGAAGTACTGGAAAGCTGTTCTGACAGTCTAGTATGGGACTCGCTGAAGTACTCACCCACTGGGGTTCGAATTCAGGTCCTTCAGGTTACAAGGGAAGCTTGTAGGTCATTCAGCCACTGGGACCCGATTCAGTGGCCAATCTATGATTGGAATAATGTCAAAATCTTAGACAGAGGAAACACAAAAGTGCCAGGGAATTCCTAGAAGCCTGGTTACTCAAACGAAAATGCAATTAACAAACACGTTAATATAGACGAAATATACCAACTAATAAAAAGTAAATCAGGTGACCAGAAAGTTTAAAATCTCAGTCAATAGAAAATGGTCAATACATATGTAAAGATAGTTACCAGGAGACGCAATTATATCACTCATGAAGAAATTTAAATCATTTCACTTTATGCTAAATATTGCGCTGGAGATGTTGTCCAGCAGGGGGACGACGAAAGCTCCGCAACTAAACCAACCAGCTCAGAGAACACTTTTATTTCGAACTCTAACTGTTACCAATTCATGATATTGTGGTGAGACATGGTTGCTAGCCAAATTGGTTGGCAGTAACTGACGTCAATGTTAGTCATGTGAAAACAAGGTCAAGATGGACAGGCGGATACACTTAACATATAGATGGACTGACACAGCCACAAGAGATGCAAGGTTAACTTTCTGTGAGAAACAACCATCAACAGACTGTATTTTCTACTAACATTAACCTACAATAATGTACATTAAAATCTATAAATATGTGTTGATTTTCCGTAATAAACGTTCTGTTGCCTGGCCCTTGTCTTCTGTTGTTACAATATCAGCGCTACCACCAGCCAGTCAATCCGTGGTCAAACATGAAAACAACAATGATTATTCACTACAACGGGAGTGATATCATGCATACAGTCGACAGTACCAGTTTTCACTAAATCCTCTCATCTATTTTTCAACCCTGATACAAATCATATATCCAGGAATCTCTGGGGCAGCAGATAATTTTCGCTTTGTCAATGCATTTTAAGTAGTACCGTAAAGCTGCAGAACAGCAGCTCCCAAATAACCTTGAATAACGAGCAATTAAAATCAAGAGATGGAAAAACACTTAAATTTGTTAGTATACTGTACTGTTGAATGCATAGACTGCGTCGGTGGCACAGCGGCTAGGACTCTCGCCAACCATGCGCATGGTCCCGGGTTCGATCTCCTGCCGACGCACACCCGATATCAATGGTCGGCCTGCAAAATTTGGGCTACCGATATCACATGCTGAAAATTCCATACTTGTACCCAAAATGCGGTGTGGAATCAAGCTATAATAAAAAATATATATAAAAATATCCTAACCTATCACCATTCTAAACTAAGCTTAACGTTAACCCCACAACTATCTTAATCGACCCCTAACCCTAAAAATATTGTAAAATCAGATCAGCATCAAACTCTGAAAGCAAAAAGAAATATGTACTGTTCATGATCACTTGAATGATTGGTCCCCACTAGTCCATTTCCAAAAAAAACTGGATGATCCCTGATATTTTATAACTTAGCCATTTTCGCTACGGATGCAACGCGTAGTATTATTATTCCTTTGAGTTCCATCAGAACAGAAGGATTCCACAGAAGATCTCCATTTCGTCCTGTTATATGAAGTCCTCATTAGCCGGCCGCATGTTTGCCCATAGTCTCTCATCTCCTTCTCATAAGCACTCCTCCTTTTTACACTCGTACCCATGGAGAGAAAGTGACAGCTGTTGATAAAAGTTTGTGGTATGCTGGAAATGCTTCTTCTGACGCGCTTGCCACATCTATGACCCATGGATTAGAACTGACTGACTTAATATTTGTGTGCGAAATCCAAATTCTCCTCTTAATGCTGTGTGAGTGCAGAAGATTGATGAAGGTCTGTTTTACATTTTCCATCCTGACTAGTTTTGATATGCTCCTCCTTGCTGACTACGTTGTAGTTGCAACGATTCTGGGTAGATAAGTGAAGGAAGTGAATTCTTCTATAAATTATTTATTCCGTTCATAGTAATTTGTGCTGGTTGTTGTTGGTTGGTTATCTTCATTACCTCCGTCTTCTCTATGTTCGCTGGATGTCCTGTCATCACTACCAGCCTCTTCTGCCAACCTGTTGACCTTCGCCCGTAGGTCTTCGAATTTGTATGATATTAGACATAGATCATCAGCGAAATCCAGATCTTCTAGAGTCTTCTTATCAGTCCAACATATTCCCATCATCTCGCTCCCACGCTTGGTGTGTCGCATAATCCAGTCCACTACAATAAGGAACATCATCAATGATAGTAGGCAGATAGCTTTGTCCATCTCCTCTCCTCATATCAGAGTCTTCCCTGAGTTTTTCGTTATGAATCACTTGACATTTAGCATTATCAAATAGCTGTTGGACGAGGTTGATAAAGATTAAGAGCACTCTGTAGTGTTGAAGCAGTTCGCAAATTACTTCATGGTCTACGCTATCAAAGGCCTTTCAGAGCAGATGAAGTTGAGGTGGATGTTAGTCTTCCTCGCTATACTTTGTCTGATGATGATGATGATAATGCGTAGAGTAGCTTTTTCCTGAATCCATCTTGTTCCAGGAGGAGTTGTGCATCCAGTGCGTCTTTTCATCTCTCCACGATGACCGAAGCGCTGTTGTTATCATTTGTTATGATAGTTATAACATTACTCAAAGTACTCCAATGTTTTGTTCTTCTGTGAACGCAGGAAATAAATAATAGTAATAGTGTGGTGAGAGCTGTCTACTAGCCAAATTGGTAGACAGTAATTTACGTCAATATTTACGTTCCCAAGATTTGTCGTGAGAAAATGTGAACAAAGATTGATTCAAAACCGACCACAGCAGACTTTGCGTAGGCGGGTGCAGTTAACATATAGAGGATTTGACATTCAAGAAACAGTCACAAATAGATGAAAGATTAACTTTACGTGAGAAACAACCAATCGGAAGACTGTGTTTGTTTGTTTACATATCCATAGTAATGTACATGAAAATATATAAATATGCGTTGATTTCCTTAATAAATGATCTGTTGCCTGACTCCTGCCTTCCGTCGTTACAATAGTAGTTGTTTTTATATAACTCTTGTGTAATTAATGAAAACAAAGCACAGTTCAGCGAAGAGTCTCTTTTCGGTGAATTCATTTTCTTAGCTGTACAATCGCAAATATATATTATTATTATTATTAATATAATCGCAAATATATATATATACGTGTTATTTTGTATGTACGTGTGTACATTAAGTTTGTCAAACAAAAATACAATTGGTTATGGTTATTTTAACTAAACAGGTGAAAATTGGTAATTGGAGTTACATTATACAAAATTGGTCAAAAAAATTGGGTGTTAATGAAATTAGGGTAGTAACAAAGGTGATGAGTTGTCACAAACAGTTGTTAAAAAGAAGTTATGTAATAATATGAATAGTTTGATGATTGAGTTTTACTCAGGATACACATAGGAACAAAGTAGAGAATACGAAATCACGTAAGAGTTCTAAATGAATACAAGAATTATAAGTAATTAAAAAAAATAGGTAAACAAACAAAATTAAATCATCAAAAATCAACAAAGTTGTCACTATGATAGTTGAAGTGGTTGAGTAATTCTCTTTTGTGTGCACAGCTTCACTTTCTCTATGTGAATGGCCAGAGCTTCAGCGATACAAAGAAGACGAAACCGTATTGCCTTTAGTAGGTTATTCTTGACTCTATAGGTTACTTTGAATCAGGAGGCATTTGTTGAGATGGAATGATCAGTGTTAATCAGGTGTTCAATTATCGCACTCCTTATAGCACTACTGTTGCATTTTCGCAGCTATGCTGGATAGTGTTCTTGAATCCTCTTGGACAGGGTGCGCGTCGAACGACCGATGTACGTGGCTCCACAGTAGCAGGTGAACTGATATATGCACATA